ATTCACAATGTAGTGACTGCTTTTTTGTCTTTTGTTTTCTTAGTTATGTTCTCTTTTATATGTGTGTGTTATGTGTTATGTGTAACGTTGCTAACTTCTTGGCCAGGTCAGCATTGAAAATGAGATTGTATCTCAATGCTTTTATCTGGTTAAATAAAGGTTAAATACAAATTAAAAAAGATTCCAATCAATCTTGTATATAGACTCTTATTGCACTATTTCACTATTTTTTCTGTGTATCTGTTTTATTGTGTTGCACTGTTGGAGGAGCCTGCAACCTAAGGGGGGGTGGGGGGATAGGACACGTTCGATTCCTGTTTTGAATAGTGTGCCGTCGATGGGTTTCATTCCATTTCAAGGTGCTTTTTGACGCTCGGTGTAAACTTCGCGCACAGCCACTCCAACATCCAATCACAGAGCTTGGGGACTGATCACGGGGTTTGTCAAGCTAAGCACATGGTGTAGTCCCAAACGATAGCTGAGGATTCTGGGTAGTGTAGTGTCTTCTGCCATCCAAAAACTCCGAACAAATATTCGTTTCTCCGAATCGAAGGGGAAAAATACAAAAGCATTGTACACAATTTAAACCAATCAATGTTGTGTAATTAACAAGGATAATCTGGTGTTTTTGAGTAGATGAGTAGTTCAGATATCACTGTAAAATCAATCGACAGTAAAGAGAATACTCACTTCCGGGTGTAAAATTCTCCGTTATCCAATGGGAATGGATGCTCGTAATACAATAAAGGGAACATGATCATTATCTTTTAAATAACGTTAACTAAAGGGAACAATCTATTGACACAGCTGAAGCTCTGGCCTTCCTTAAAAACTAACTAATTTAATAAAAATCACAGTTGTATTACACACAATGCACTGTTTTTTGAGAACAAAAATTCGTAACTAATGCACCATAATACATTCTGACGACAAATACAAATTATTATGAATACAAATAAAATAAAAGAAGCCTCCCGTGAGTTACTACAAGCTATAAAGTAGATTTTAAAAACGTTTTATAGAATAAAAGCTCACTGCGGGACGTTGTAGAAATGCGTGTGTGCACCACGACAAAAGAGCCTCATTCACTTTACATTGGGGTTTTTTGCGTGGTGCCGACACGTAAATGTAGCAGAATGCGTGACTCCACCACGCAATGTGGTGTTAAGGTTGCGTGGTGGAGTCACGCATTCTGATGAGATCAGGTTGGCTTAGTTTTGCACGTGTGGCCCTTGACTTGTTACATAGCAAAGTGAAACCTGAAGCCAACAGGGAAACGTCTCCCTCTCATCTTGTGTGTCTAAAACCTCATGGCAGCAGGTCATAATGGGGGAATCAACCCTGCTTCTCCCCCACCCTTAATTCAGCTCTCACTATGCCTCAGTCAGTCTTTCCCCCTTCATTCCTGACCGCCCGTCTCCCCCCTGTCTGATTTCCATCCTCCCAGCTGAGAAAGCAGGCGCGAAATCTCTTGGCAGAGATGAAGAGAGGGAGAAAGAGTAGAGAGGGGCTTTTCAGATGAAGAGAAAAAGGGTTTGCTGCGTTGAAAGGGAGCATTGTTTTGTTCTTCCACATTGCAACAGCTCCATCTCTGTGATTTAGTCGAGCCAGCACATTACTGTGTCTCTTTAAATCAGGGTGCTGTTAGCCTTAGCAACGTTCAGGCTCCATTGCTCCAATGTTGCTGCTCAAAGACCTCCCCTCTTCTTTCAGCCAAAGACCACTGAACTCCCTGTTCGGTCTGCCTGATGGGCACATTCCTCTCAGCTGTAATAGTAAATGAAAACAGGCCAGGGAATTGTGTGAAATATGTAAAGGATTTTAAAAAAGACAATATGAATGAATGTGTGTATTTTTAGTGCTGGCTGAGTTTGCCAACAGAGAAAAAGTTCCCAATTCCTTCTCTGCCTGTTAATTTGTTACAAGGAACTTCAATCCAGTCTCCTTCTCTCTGCACCGCATGATAAATTAACCCACGGCTGTCTGTCTCTGGGTCTCTGAAACTTCCAGATGTTTTCTCCACTTAGTGTGACATTCAGCTTTAGGCTCTGAGCTGTACATGTATACATTTCATGCTAGGGTTTTCCCCTGACACAGTACATATTAAGCTGGTCTGTATCCCTGCTCTGTTCCTAGTGTGTGTGTATCCACAGAGCAGTGCTCTGTCCTGCAACATGTGGGGACCCAACACACTGCAGAGACAGCTGCAGGTTGGGAGGGAGGGAGGAGGGGGAAAAGGGAGGAAGAAGAGAGGAAGTCAAAGGGGGAGTATTGGGGGGGTTCCTTCCTTTTGCTGGACTACTGAGTGAGGGGAGAAATGAGTAGAAGAGGCGCCAAACCCACACATCCTGTCCCGCCACTAGCAGCTGTTTCGTCACATCCTGCTCTCTCCTTACATGGTTCAGGCCTGAAATGAGATCCTTGTTTCCTCTCGCTGGTCCTTCCTGTCAGCTCACACACTGTGAGGGGAAATGCAGATCTGCATCACTTTCTACATTATTTTGAATTAAATTGAGACGGATAAGATTATATGTTATAACTACGTATTCAAGAAATGTGTTTTTCAGCACTTCAATGTGTTTTGGAAAAACTGACTTTTTTTACTGACTCACAAGTGTGCCTGTGTCCATGCTTCAAATACAGGATGTGATGAGCCTCTCTCATGTCCAGGCGGTCTGACTAATGTTATTATCGCTCACAGGCAGTCCATTGTCATGTTCAGTCTTCTTTGGACAAAACTGATACGTTTTGTTGTCTGTGTGTGACTGTGTGTGTGTCAATCTCTTGTGTATCACCCTGTGTAATCAGCAGGAATGTGCTTAATTAAGCGAGACAGAGTGAGGGGCATAAAGGGGGCAATAAAAGAACAATCTCCCCATTCTGCTGGGTCTCCCCTCCAGGAAATTGGTGACACATAGGGACAGTCAGGACAGGAGGAGTCTCTATGAGCCACAGGATGAGGAACATCAGCTGACTAAGTAACTCTAAAGCTTTTGTAAAATGCATATGCATAATGTAAACATGTGTCCAATTTCTTTTGATTGTTATATCTCAAAGTGACACTCACACGGTGCAGATCTCCAGTAAAGCAAGGTGGGAAAAACCAACAGATTATTGCCTCTGACTCATCCACTTGTGTCTGCGTGGGATTTTCTCCGCTCTGCCATGTTTCCTGCATATGTCTCTCAGGGTTGCCAGGTTTGACTAATGGCTGAATATGCTTGTCTTCCTGCAGGTCATTCAGTTCCGCCAGGCCGCGAGTTGAGCCAGTGATGACCGCTACATAGATCTGTAATAAAGATGTGGAGAACAGAGAAAAGCATCCAGAGGCTGGGGCTGACAGTTGCCGAGGCAACCACACAACACATTGAGAGAAGAGCGAGAGTAGTCGGCCATTTTGGGAAAATCATATTGAAAGATAGTCAAAGAATCTCTAAAAGCAATATAATTCACGGTCATAGTAAAGCATTTCATAATTAAAAGTCATACAAAATATCAACGTTTACCATAATAAGTCATGAAAATCTTGAAGTTTTGTTTGCCGGTATAACTATATTATTTTGTAAAATCAAATAGCATAGATTCCCATAAAAAATACTACAAATATCAACATATTCATCATACAGAACCATAATATAGTATGGCATACAAATGTGATAAAAGAGGTCATAGCTTAGTATTTCATAAACATTTTCATAAAAAGTCCTTTACCCTAAAAAAATAGTTTAGTATAGTTTTCAATAAAGAAGTTCATTAAAAACATATAAACACATTTTTACTGTCAAGTTAACGTCAATCAAAAATAATAGTTAAAATAAATTAGAATAATATATGTGTTTGTGAGCTAGCAGATGGGGATACTTTTAATGTATAAAATAATATTTGTTCCAGTATGTTCTATAGCTCTTGTGCTTGTGTAATCTTCAGGCAGTAAAAACCCATTAGCGTGTGTTAGAGTGAACGCCTGATTCATGATCACTTGCATCATCTGGATCTCTGCAGCTCCTCTGTCCCTCCTTCCATCCCCCAACATCTGCAGCAGTGAGTTAAAGGCAGCTCCTTTTGTTTTGCTTAGTGACGGTCCGTGCGCTATTTATAGCTTATATGTTATTGTGTAAGACCTTGTGAAAGGCACAAAGAGCCAGAGCAGGCTGCCATGTTCCCTGTAGTGGCCCCAGGATCTGTGAGAGGAGAGCTAAATAACATGTGGCTCTCCTCGAAAGTATGATGAGGTAAAGTAGGAGACAGCAAGTTCAAGTGGAATAAGATGTATAAATAATTTCACTTAGTAAAGATAGTTTTGTCTTGTTACCATACATCTCTTCAACAATAGGAGACATCACAAAATACCAAACAAAAACGTTTTTAAAAAAAAATCATCACTGGCTTTTTCAGGTCTCATTTGTACTACTAGGTTTTCATCAACTAAATAAAATATATACAACATCATTATACAATTAAAATAAAAGTTGTTTCCCTGTTTCTGGTAACGCTTTCACTGAAATTGATTTTACCATAGTGATTCTTAAATCTCTAATGAGGTTTTGTAAATTAATTAGACTCATTATTAAGTAGATTTGTTGTTTATAGTTGTGAATCATGTTATCACCGGAAGCATAGCAATAAAGTTTTCCAATTAATTATTCCCTTTTTTCATGTGACAAGGGAACAGCAGTCAACGAGGTTGTCAAGTTGATGTTATTTAATTAGAAATTATATCTTGTGCCCTCATTGAGTCTTATTTTTACTCCCTTTTATCTACACAGAGCATGGACCACCTGAAATGGACGACGGAGAGAGCAAAGCTTTGCGGGAAAATGTAGTAGGGCTGCAGTCCTGCTGAATATGGGTCACAGACAACAAGCGGAAGAAAAGAGCACATTGCATCTGATGCTTTTCACAGCTGAGTCTCATTGATTAGCAATGTATGGTGCAAAATGTTAACTCACACTAGCCTGCTAAACCTACACATATAAACATAACACAAACACACACAAGTATTTTTTTTTAAATGATTTCAGAATCGTTTTATTTGAAATGTCAGTGTTCAAGAGAAAATAAAACAGCAATATAAATATTAGCATAAAAATAAGAGAGTAACACAGGGGTATAGCGTGGGAGATAAGCATTTGATAAGAAAGATAATACAGCAGGATAGAATAGTATTAATTCAGCAGCGGACGGACACATATATAATATTTATAATCATTTGTTCATATGGACAGAAAGAGAATGAGAGGCATTCTTTCACAAATGCACAAGAAAAGGTCACCGCAAAAGAACATTAAGAGGTTACAGAAGGATAGAAACATTTCCATATTTTTTTTGTTTTGTTTGTTTCTTTACAGGGTGATAAAATATAGTAGAGAGAAAATGAACACAAAAATATGCGCAACACATATCACAAGTTAACTAGTCTACGTGTGTCACTTTGTTTACTTATCTAAAGATGTCTTTCATTATTTATTTACACTGAAGAGTTAGTTGGCTTCCATGGTGCTTAGTTACTACATTGCAACACAAACTGTTGAAGAACATCTCAGATTTTTATTCATTATTGATTCTTTTTTTTTTGTAACTGGTTTTCTTATTTTTCTTGAAAAACAAAATGCAACACATTCCAGTAGTAAGCCACGCCTTGTGGAGAGGGACTTTTATTTTGAAAATGTTGGATGTTGTCCCTACTATACAAACAACTGGCTCATACCATCGACAGGACTTGTGTTTATTTACAGTGGGGAAGATCCTCGCAGGACTAGGGGGTGAGGGGAGAGGTGAGTGGTACAGAGGCTACAGTGATTTTAATTGAGGTTTTTTTTTTTCAATGGGCTCTCGAGTGGTATCTCCTCACCAACAGGGACAGCTGTGCTTGGCTCTGTTGACCTCTACCTGGGTCAGTGCATTAGAGAAAGTTTAAGAGAAGGACAGATCAACAGTGGTTCCTCTGTACATTCAGTGGGTAGAGCCAAGTTGTTCCCCCCCCCCCGGTTGATGTAATGGGGTCCACCGAGTCTGTGTAACCCTCACCACTTCCCCTCCACTCCCCCTGACCCAGCCTGCAATCTGCTTTTTTCTCATGCAGTTGTATCCGGCCAGAAGCCTGACAGACAGATGGACGGCAAAGTAAAGACTTCATATCATAAAACAAACAATTCCTCTATGCTATTAAATCTCCCAAAGAAAAACATATCTTTCTGCGTCACATCAAGAAGTTTCTTCAACACTTCGAGAGTGTGAGGGGTAAATACTCCTGCAAAGTGTCCAGGGACTCCTAAGAACTTAAGTTTACCACATCTATGCATTTCCCAAAAGAACGAAGTGATTACTACCCCTACATCTCATCTTCAAATTACGATCAGTGCATTTCTCTTTGTTTGGCTCCCAACGTGGGGAAGTGAGTGAGGGGAGGGGAGGATCTGGGTGTGGAGGGGGAGGCTAAAGGGTGCAGGGCAGCAGGACATGTTTGTGCCCATCTGGTGTTATATAAGACACACTTCTACCAGCAAGGACAGCATGGCTGGTGACTCAACACCATGCCGCCACACCCTCTCCCTGCCCGTCCTCTGGGTGCATGCTCTGGTCATAAAAATATCAGGAGGTTCAAATCTTATTTTTCTTAAACTATGATTACAAAACGTTTTTTTTTTGTTTTGAGTCAATTAAATGCTACATGTGCATTCTATTGACATGCGATTGGTGGGAGGATAACAGATTTAGGATGTCCTCCTCTTTGCTTTTGAAATGCATAGTTTGCAACTCTAAACTAGTATATGTGGTTTGAACCTTAAAGAGCATGCAGAAGAGTTTGTAATACCTGTCAAACAACAGCCTTATATCATCAGGACTTATGCTTTAAGATCCTGCAAGGCTGATCCTATATAGGAATCTAATGGATGGCAACTAGCGTACTTTACAATAGCCGTCTTTCCGCCGTGGGAAAGAGCACAATAAATCCAACATGAAAGACATTAACATTTCATCTCTGAATACATCACTGCATATAGCCTTGTAATCCCAGCAAGGTTACTTACACTGAATCTCTATGTCCAAGATCATTTGCCAAAACAAAAATAAAAAACACAATAACCCCCCCATATCCTGCCAAAATTATCTACTGACAAAGATTATGTGAGCAATACTAGACCTTTAGCACAGCACGGGTAATCAACACCAACAATAGCCTTCGGCACATTCAAGACACTTTCAAAGAACCATCAACATCCATCCAAAGTCCACATGGTCAAAGGTGCTGCTGTCGTTAGTTAGACCGTGGCTAACAAGAGGGACAGCAGAGCAGTAAGATACCTAATGGGGGGGGGGGGGGTACGGGGGGTTGAATTTCTCATCAGAACAGGCCGGGTTTATCTTTCCTCCATCTCTCTCCATCGAACTCTACTTCTTCTCCTTCTTGGTGGACTTCTTCTTGGAGGCAGGGGTCTGGGCGGCCTTGGGGGGCTCGGGCTGGGGCGACATCTGGGCCGACATCTGGGCCGACATCTGGGCTGACATCTGGGCCGCCATCTGGGCCGGGGGCAGCGCCTGTTGGGCTGCCTGCTGGGCAGTGGCCTGCTGCTGCTGCTGCTGCTGCTGCTGCTGCTGCTGCTGCTGCTGCTGCTGCTGCTGCTGCTGCTGCTGGGGGTTTGAGGTGAGGGTGGCCGTGCTACCGGGGATGTAGACGTTCTGGCGATAGTCGGGCACGTGCTGCAGGGTGAACTGGGGGCTGTACCGGGTGCTCAGGCCCATGGTGCCGGGTCCCAAGGTGGCCGTAGCCTCGCTCACTTCTGGGGGGAAGAGAGACAGAGTGGGGGGAATAAGGGGTGAGGAGGGAGAGGAGAGAGGGATGAAATTTGTTAGACAACCAGAATGTGAAAGTTTTAGTATGACAGTGTTATATAAAAAGATAGAAATGGAAATAGGTCTTAAAAGGAGGTTCAACTACAAGATAAGGTATTTGATTACAGAGAAATTGCATTTGATTTAAAGTTAAACATATCCTGCTGCTTAGGCAAAACAGGAGGTTGCAGTGGGCTCAGCTAAAAAGAGGCACAAGAGGTGTTACACAATGGCTGATTGTGTGCAGATGTTTTTGTTCTTAACATAGATGAGGAAACGTCTCTCCTGCATCCTCCTCTATGTCTCTATCTCACATGGCCTGAGTGTGTGTGCGCATGACGTAGCTGTTCGGCTCATAATTCTCCCACAGCCCCTGCATTGCAGAGCCTGAGACACAAACGCTCCCTCCCCCATCCTGTGGCTCCTCTCAGCCTATATAAACACTAACAACAGACATGCTTACTGGCTTCCAAAGGGCCAAAGCAAGTGACTGAAAACACAACTTAATAATCTGTCTGCATTCACAGTGCTTTGTCAATTCATTGCGGGATTACTTCTGCATTGCGCTTCAACACAGTGACAGTCAGTGTAGAAGAGAGAGGACGTTCAGTATGTATCACTGTTTTGTCTTGCCTTAATGATGACAATATAACTGTTCATTTTGTCTACATTTGTGCTGACACGCAGCTTACCACTATGCCTTTTTCTGTCTCTCTCTCTGACAGAAGAATTCCACACAACGTCCGGTGCAGTGTCCAAGAGGGGGAGGGTGTTATTGTGTGGGTGTAGAGGGAGGTGTGTCAGTGGTTTAAGTTACAGTGGAAACAATGACTTGAGTCTATTTAGTAATAAATATGGTCAAGTTTGTCCCTCTGTCATATCTGTGTTTGTTGTCTTTGACTGTCACTATGTGGTGTTGCTCAGCCTTCTTTCAACACCAATTTAATGGATATTCTTCCATGTTATTGACTTAGGATTCCACAGTTTCAGCCCAAAGATATATCATTGTGTATCCCCCCTTAGTGCTGGATACACATTCGCGAAATAGGGCAGTGGAAAGAGGACATTTTGTGATTTGGAAATGTCAAATAATATATGAGCCATGTTGTGGGGGCTCTATAGCCTTCTGCCTATTATAAAACACTGTGCATGTCATCAGTGTGTACAGTGGAAACATGCATCTCTGAAGGTTGTTAAATTCAACACAACCACAGTGCTGTGTATCTGAGGGACTGCAGGTAGTTACGTCCACTGTCTGACTATCCTCTGGATAATTAACAGCACACAATCACGACACGGAAACATCAATGTAGACCGGGAGAGCTTTATCAATGAGCGAGGCTGGCTAGTTGCCCTCCAACCAAACAGGAACCTAAATAAATAAACTCTGCCCACGCACCCTCACTAAGCTTGTGAAGAGATATAAATTGGTTTGGAAAAGAAGAGAATAATCGATAGTAGGGAGGAAAAAGATGACGAGGTATAGGACTCACCGTTAGCTGCAGCCATCAGGGCCTGGAGCTGCTCAGCCTCAGTTGGCGGCTGGGGCCAGGGGCCAGTTCCCATGGCAACCTCGGGTCCTCCGGTTGCACTGTGGCGAAAAAAGAGGAGAGAGCAACTGTGAATAACTGGTCCTCTATAATGTGTTTGTGTTTAGCTAAGGTTTGGCAGTTTGTGGTTCATGATGTAAAGCAGCTGATGGCAAAGTACACAGCCTGAGGGAAAGTCAGCAAGGATAGCAATAATGACGTATAGTTCACAAAACAGGGTGTGTCCCAAACAAACACACACTTAAACACACTTTTGTCTGTCTGCACACAGTAGCAAGCGTGTTTGCGCATTCAAACACAGTTAACATAGTACAATGTTCACACTCTCTCTCTCCGGTGTGTCCATGGGCTCTGCGTGTTCTAGTAAATCTGATTAAATATTTATTGGTCCCACCTTTGAAGGAAATAGCTGTCTGCATAGTCACACATGTGGTGCTCAGTAGGCACTGAACATTTCCATCTGGGCAAACCTCACCTTCAAAGGTTTGTTTATTTAAAGTCTGCGATTTGCATGTGGGGAAAACAAAGGAGAAAGCAGACCTGCGCAGTATTATGCTCACCTTGTTTCCATTCCCACACCAACACAAGCTGAACAACTAACAACTAGGTCACAACACTTTAATACCCCCTTTGCTCCTGTTCCCAATGTGTTGATTAAAGTCCTGTTTGGATTTTAAGATGGTAGTTTGATTGGCCACCGCACTGCATTATGTTACCATCATTGTACTGAAACTGTGTCACCATAAATATCTAACAAACGTCACTTCATTTCATTAGAAGACCAGCAGGAGTCACACAAAATAATCTCGAGCAAGAACAATTTTACTAATCTCTTGACCTCCTAATTTGTGTGTTTAATACATTGGTTGTTTAACTGTTTTTGGTAATAACAAACCACCTGCACATTTAGTGGAAGATCATTAACCCACAGGGACATGGGTAAAAGATACAGCTCCAAAAAGGAAAAGAAAATACATATCAAGGTCTCATTTCCTACTCTCTGACAAACACAGGCTGTAGTAATATATGAAGAATACAGGTCTGTATGTATATACATATATATAGATGGCATGTTGAATACATGTGAGATAAAGAAGAACTCTCTCTTTTCTATTTAAAACCAACAAAAATAAACTGACAAATTGCTCTGCTCGAGGGAATTAAGAGAAAGTAAAGGACACAATAAGGCAAAAGGGAAAGGAATTCTAACATAAAACAGGGATTTGTTAAAGAGCAGGTTGCCAGATCTTACTGCCAAAACTCTGAAGTGGATTGTAGTTTGGTGCCAGAGAGAGACTGAAGCAGAGAAGCAGGCAGCCAATGAGACAGGCTTGGTACGAGCAAGGTCAGTAAAGCCAGGGAAGCCATTTTGTGGCACTTCACATCACTTAAGATAAATAGGAATGCTTCATTTAAGCTAAATGATCAACTCTCTGTACTTATCACATCCTGCGGTTGTGTCAAGCACTTCCTGTGGTTAGGATTATCACTTCCTGTGGGCAAGATTGTGAACTGTGATCCAGATGGTTGTCCTTGGTTAGCAGGACAGGACCATGTGTTTCCTCTGCAACCTAACATGACATGTTTTATTTCCAAGGATGGCTTGCCTTGTTGTTTGGTGGAGAACCTGCTGGACTTTAACTTATTTCAGGCCCATTCAGCCAGTCTCACTGTGTACCTGCTGTTTACTTCATTGAGAAACTTTTTACATCCAACCAGCTTTTAAAGAAATCAATGATGGAACAGCTGTCTGTATTGTCACTTTCTTGCTGTCTGCTGTTGATAAATCACATGAAAAAGCCACATGTGGTGATGTTGAGCTACAACCATCACAGACATACATCAAAGGCAACACTGCACGGTAGGTCAGTCTCCAAGAAGGAGAGAAAACAAGAGCTCTCAGAGAGTAATGACTATAGGTATAGCACACATAAAAGGCATAACAATTCTACAAAACACTGCACGCAAAAAATCCAAAGTTTCACAATCCTTTCTACACCACAGCAGGCATTGTGGCCTATGCACATCGATCAACAAACCCCATCAAACTTTCAGGGAGACTAACACAAGCTATTGGTTAGGTACATCTACACACAGCACAGCACTCAACTGCAGTGCACTACCTATAATATTTTAGCCACTCTCTGCCCTTATCAGCTGATTTGTGTTCAGGTCCCTTTTTCCCCCAACAGTGACTTGACAAAAAACATTGATCAGCTCATAAGGACAGAAAATGACCATAACATGTCTACATCTAAATTAGTACCTTGTCCCACTCTTCGGCGTCCATCGTATGTGTGTACCGTATGGCATGTGGGGACTAGAAACACAACAAGTTATACAGAATGGAGGTAAGAAAAAGGAAAATGTTGAGATGTTGTGCTCTAGATCTCTGTATGTTGAGTCTGTCATATCTATTTAAAGAAAGATAGTTTTCTATTTCTCCACCACTGAGATAAAATGTCCAATGTATTCCTCCTACCCCAGTGGAATTCTAGAATGACTGTGATGTGTGTGTGTGTGTGTATCTATGTGTGTATCTATGAGTCTAACATTTTCCTGACTTGGCTCATCAGAGCGTTTTGCCCAGCTGGTATGTTTCAGGGAGAAGCCTTGACTCATAGAATGTGTCGTGCAATCATTGTTGTGAAAACTCAATTTTAGCCCACACAATATGGGCAAATAGCAATCATTAACCATCGACATACAGAACACTCTCACTAAAACACACAAGTGAACTAAAGAAACATGTTTCATGTATTGTCCAATTAAGCAAGTCAGAACGACATCTCAGATGGTAGAAAATGAAGAGCGCTGAAGAAGGATAAATACACTATCCCATCCCCCCCAGTAGCTCTGGTCACAGTCCCTCATCAGTAGTACTGAGTGATGGTTCACAGGCTCAGAGAGTGCAGAGAGGAGAGGAGGGGAGGGGGAGGGGAGTGGAAGCTGCGGCAGCCATTTTATAAAGCAGCCTGAAATCAGAGAGATGCTCATTCAGGAGACTAAACCAGGAATCTGAATTCACTGAGCAGGTCATGCTATAAAATGCTCATTACAATGTTTTTCAAAATCAGATTGAAATGGTTGCACTTTGACTTTGATTTCTTCAGTATTTTACAATCAGCTCTCTGCAGGTAGCGAGGTGTTATGGTCACAGCACTCACTACCATCCCCCTCCTGTTTTTATTCCTCATCCTCCATCGCTCTCTCAGTCTTTACGATAAGCTTGCCTTGTGCAGCACAATAATATGTCCTTGACACGCATCTTATCACAGTGTGGTTGTGTGTGTCTCAGTTTACTCACCCACTAGGTCCGGGTCTCTGTCCCTGAGTGAAGCGCCAGTCATTGTTGGGGGGCTTTTGCTGTGAAGAGAGTAGAAGTTGCAACATGAATCATGTGTTTCATCGGGACATAGCAGGACGGTTTTGAGGTGTAACTTTTGGTTTGCAAGATGTTTCTTTGTGGTCGACACATCTGTGTGTGATGGTGTATGTCGTGTGTCTGTCTGTGATTTATAAAATATTTTTTGTGTCTCTATGCTTGAGGTTCAACAAAGGGTTACAGTTGGAAACAAATATCTGTATGCTCAGGCATCCATGTTGTTCCGAAAGCTGTGGAGCATAAAATGCTGCAGGGGACAAACACACACACACACACACACACACACACACACACACACACCACACACACACACACACACACACACACACACACACACACACACACACACACACACACACACACTGGAGTGCTGCTTATAAAACGTGACTCAAAGCAAAAGGAAAAAGAAAGATAATATAACAAATTGTTATTTATGGTATAATAAGCCCATACGATATCGAAAGGACATTTAAACAGCATTTTTTCACTAAATGACCTCAAAAACACAAATAAATACAGACAAAACAAAACTATGACAACCCCTTAAAACTTTTTACGGTAAAGATTGGGGAGATTCCTTGCTAGTTAATACATGGCTTCCTATAACAATACTTGTAATAAATGAAGAGGGCAGAGAGAGTCCTTGAAAGGCTGCGTTGTTATTTTTATACCAAAACATTATGGAGACAAGGAAACAATGGTGGCTCCGCAGTGATAAAAGCCTCTCTACTATCCCTTCGACTCTCTATGAATGTGTTCAAGCCCATTGCACTCTAGTCCATCTCTACCTCACTGGCCATGTCATCATGTCTTTTCCATCTCTCTACCACTTTCCCTCTCTCAGGCTCTCTTGTTGTGCAGTGATGCAGTGAATAGACCCTTGGCTTGGCTCCAGATTCTGCCGCCTAATCCACACAAGAGCTCCCTGGAGAAAGAGGCCAGCAGGATGATGTGCTGCATTATTAAAAGAGCTGTTCTACCCGAGGGAATGATGGAAAGAAGCAAGAGAGCAGAAGAGAAAACAGAACGAGAGAATATCTATATATACAAAAAGGTACAGTCATGACTGGAGCCTCTATTAGCATACAGGTAAACAAGAAACAAATGCACCAGTGAGTGGTGACTTGTTGAATGCACATAGAACGACAAGGCAAAGAGGGCTGTTGAAACAAGTGAAAAAGGGAATATGGTTCCTTTCTCAATGCAGACTAAACAAGTGAGTGCCATAAAGACAATTACAGAGAACTCAACTGTAACAAAAAAAGGCAGTGAAAGAGGAGACTGTGGTATGAAGTCTGGTTTTCTAATGGACACTACAAAGGGAAGGAGGTAGTGTGAATTGCAAATATTCATAACAATTATTAACCAACCCTCTGGTCCATACACTGTAGAGTGAAAATAGCTGACAGTGGACCTCTTCTAATCCGAAAGAAAGGAAATATACAGTCAGATAAAGAGAAGTGTGCTTAATAATGTCCTGATACGTGATGCAACGCCAGAACTTACACGTTTTCATTATTGCAACATACAGCCATAGTGGATGAGGATGAGCAGAGGAGGGCATATTTGATCTCTTATACTCCTTTCAGGGCAGAGCCGGGCTGATGTTTGGAGTCTAAAAATGGACTCAACGATGTGCGTGGGCACAAGAGTCTGTCTGAGCTTTGGTAGAGAGAGAAAGGGATCAGCACTGAGTGGAAGCAAACATCCACAGAGAGGCCCAGCATTCCAGCTGTGTGACTCTCTCTCACCACACAGACACACACTTGTCATTTCCAAGGTCTTATACCACTGCAGGCATGCGGCATAAAGGGTAATAGACTACACATGCTGGACCCCACTGCTGGTGCATGCTTCATTGAAGGCAACCTCACTGCACCTAAACATCACAAGCAGACAGGTAATATCCAGAAGAATGCAAACTCTTCTGCTCAAAAGGAAAGTCAAACCGATGGCCTTCCTATCACTCAACTAAAGATTGATTCAAATCCATTTACTTAAGCTCCAATTATCTGAGCATCTTTAAATGTGCATGCTGGATTCATCAAGGGTTATAAACTGATCACATGGGCACATCTGGATTTTATCCAGCATGTTTGAAGCAGGTGAATGTGAGCTAAAACTTTTGATTTACTTCTTCACCACTTCTACACAAAGGTCTATCCAGTTGCTTCAAAATAAAACACAAATGTAATATATTTTCTTTCTCTCCTCCTGACGGGGGTAAAACATACAGTAAAGGCAAACACGTCTTTTACACATACAGATCCATCTGGTACTCTTTATGTAATATTCAGGTTCATAGCACGCAAGCTATTGATGCTAAAAGAACTTTGGCTGGACTTAGTGCTTTGCCTGAAAACAGGAAGTTGAGTCTGTTCAGTTGCTCTGATAACCTACAGGGCCTCACACATACACAACATATAACCTTCAGTACAAACGCATGCGCTCATTTGTAGCACAACACACAGCTTCATCTTCCATAAAAAAAAAGCTTATTTACAAAAGACTTGGTCTTACTAAGTGCACGTGCCAAACTTTTAAACTACCATAGACTCAAAGATTGAAAGAAACACATGGTCATGAGAATATTTAGATCCTGCTTTAAACCTATGATTGTACTAGTAATGGAGAGGGGAAGAATTGCTAAGATGAAATTGAAGAGGCAACTTGGTGAGCCATGAACTCAAGATTACATGGAATGTTTCTGTGTCCACTGAGTGAGAAGGCTCAATAAATCATGGGAATATTTGCTTTATCAATGCAAGTGCCATACATTTTGAAGGCCAATTGGAAAAAAGTAAACTTTTTTCACCATTACTTTTAGGAAAAACTGTCAATACAATTTTGCCTCCAAACGTCTTGAGAGTTAGTACATGAATGCCAAAACAGCACATAGCAAATGAATAGAGGATCCAAAGAAGGGCAGAGGGAATTGCTTGACAATTGGACTCCTAGGCCCCAGGGTCCTCTTCAAATTACACACCACTAGAGGCTCCTTGTGCCTGATGCTTTGTACACACAATCTCACAAGCAGGCATATAAACACCTACAGTGATGGCTGCTGCTCTTGACCCATTATAGCCTGTGTTGTCTGTCGCTGTGGCACACGTGCATAAAAGCTATCCTTCCTTTATCTTTGTTAACCCTTCATCTCTTTTCCTCTGTTGTCCTCATTGCACATGTGTTACTAGAACAGGGTGACAGATGGTACCCTGTTGACCTCAGGGACAACCTCATTTAGCACAGAGAGTGGCTATGTAATTCAGACTGACAAGAAACAGGAAAATCTTATGTATATTCAAAAGAGTAAACACCCTGTTGTGGGGTGAAGAAATTGTTATTACCAAAACACCACGGCAACAATATTGACCTTAAACTAAACTCAACATTTAATATGTCATGGCTGTGAATAGACCCCGAGGATGATTGTTAAGGATGAGAAAACCTCGTACTTTTTAACTATTAAATTCCTCAAAGTGAGGCACTGTCAGCCATCCTCCCTGACAGTGCTTGCTTTGCATCAAAACACTTAATAAGTTGTGATTTTTTTTTTACACCCTGCTCTTACAAATGGAAAAGGTGGTATTTCTGACCAAGGATCTAATAATGGAAAACAGAAATGTGTGTACAGAGCTCGCACAGCCTCACTCATCCTGGAACCAATCACAGAAAGTTCAAGAGGACAACAGGAAGTCAGGGGTCAGGCCACTGACCCCATGAATTCCTGTTTTTCAGCTACTGCTTTATTCTTTGACTCCCCCCAGCTCACCATTTTGTTCCCTTTGCCCTTTTCCTCTCCTTCACCCCCATCTCTCCCTCTGTCATTCTGTTACCCTCTGTCTCCGAGCCCTTCCACTGAGCCAACACTGCAGGATATTTTCATCTGTCTGTCTCCTCCTGTCCATCTGTTAGGAACACTCGTGTTTCCCACTTTCAACTTCCTTTGACATTTCTTCTCCAACTACCTTCTTTCTGCCCAACTTTCTTTATCTGTAGCTTTCACATCCATAAAGAAAAGTTCCCCACTGTCAGTTTAGTCACTGGAAGTCAGAGATAGTAACCACATTTCCTATAGCCTCAGGTCAGATTACATAGTAACATGCTCTCTGCCCAAACCCGTCTAGTAGGACAACAAAGCTCTAGGAGCTGTTTTAAGGATCCTCCTGCAAGTAATGTTTCAGATAAAATACTGCAGAGCTAAGTGACAGAGGACATCTAGTTTTGCACTGTGTCAAGAGTGGAAGCAATACAACTATGTTTTTAACCAATTTGTTGTATTGAACTATTACAATATCAAATAACTGCATGATATACTTAAAGCATTTTTTAAACATGCCTATAGATACTGAACCTCCTGTATTGGTTGTATCCCACAATAGCATATCCCAGCAATTCCATGCTTGCTCCCAAACATAATCCCTCACCTCACTGGCTGAGTTCATAAGGTGCTTCCTGCTGAGTGTCATGTTGAGTGTGTTGTTGTGACTCATCATTGGTGTCTTCATAAATACAAAGTCACTCCGACTGGATATGGTGGAGTAGCACGGCCTGTAGGTGCGTGTGTGAGGGTCCTGGGAGTCTCCTACGACTTCCATATATCGTATGGGACCATCACTATTTAGCTGCAGGTGCAGGTCCTTGCTTGGCCTCTGATGGTAGCGGCTGGGCCTGTTGCGACCGTAGCAGCAGCTGCAGTCCGAGTCCTCCAGCCCATGGCCACGGGGCCTAAGGCAGCGTACCATGAGGACGGCAAAGGTGATAAAGGACACCCCTGATACACAGGCTAAAGCGATGATGAGGTACAAAGTAATGTCAGACATCCCAGTGCGGTGGTAGAAGGGTGTGTGGCGGGGGCTTGCAGGAGCATCCTTGGGCATGGCCTTCTCATCCACAGTTATTGAAATGTTCACAGAGCTGGACTTTGGTGGGTCACCATTGTCCTGAATAATGACCACAATGTCATAAGTGGAGCCAACTT